TGTCACAGTTCTGTACAGAACATATATATATGACATACTATCAGTATGTTAAGCTGTGGCACAGTTCTGTACAGAACATACAAACTGTATGACATACTATCAGTATGTTAAGCTGTGTCACAGTTCTGTACAGAACATATATGTATGACATACTATCAGTATGTTAAGCTGTGGCACAGTTCTGTACAGAACATATATGTATGACATACTATCAGTATGTTAAGCTGTGGCACAGTTCTGTACAGAACATACAAACTGTATGACACACTATCAGTATGTTAAGCTGTGGCACAGTTCTGTACAGAACATACAAACTGTATGACATACTATCAGTATGTTAAGCTGTGTCACAGTTCTGTACAGAACATATATGTATGTACTATCAGTATGTTAAGCTGTGTCACAGTTCTGTACAGAACATATATGTATGACATACTATCAGTATGTTAAGCTGTGGCAAAGTTCTGTACAGAACATATATGTATGACATACTATCAGTATGTTAAGCTGTGGCAAAGTTCTGTACAGAACATACAGACTGTATGACATACTATCAGTATGTTAAGCTGTGGCACAGTTCTGTACAGAACATATATGTATGACATACTATCAGTATGTTAAGCTGTGTCACAGTTCTGTACAGAACATACAAACTGTATGACATACTATCAGTATGTTAAGCTGTGTCACAGTTCTGTACAGAACATATATATATATGACATACTATCAGTATATCAGTATGTTAAGCTGTCGCACAGTTCTGTACAGAACATACAAACTGTATGACATACTATCAGTATGTTAAGCTGTGTCACAGTTCTGTACAGAACATATATATATGACATACTATCAGTATGTAAAGCTGTGTCATACTATCAGTATGTTAAGCAGTGTCACAGTTCTGTACAGAACATACAATGACATGTATGACACAATTCTGTACAGAACATTCAAACTGTATGACATACTATCAGTATGTTAAGCTGTGTCACAGTTCTGTACAGAACATATATATATGACATACTATCAGTATGTTAAGCTGTGGCACAGTTCTGTACAGAACATACAAACTGTATGACATACTATCAGTATGTTAAGCTGTGTCACAGTTCTGTACAGAACATATATGTATGACATACTATCAGTATGTTAAGCTGTGGCACAGTTCTGTACAGAACATACAAACTGTATGACATACTATCAGTATGTTAAGCTGTGTCACAGTTCTGTACAGAACATACAAACTGTATGACATACTATCAGTATGTTAAGCTGTGTCACAGTTCTGTACAGAACATATATGTATGTATGACATACTATCAGTATGTATAAGCTGTGGCACAGTTCTGTACAGAACATATATGTATGACATGTATGACATACTATCAGTATGTTAAGCTGTGGCACAGTTCTGTACAGAACATATATATGACATACTATCAGTATGTTAAGCTGTATATATATATGACATACTATCAGTATGTTAAGCTGTGTCACAGTTCTGTACAGAACATATATGTATGACATACTATCAGTATGTATGTGGCACAGTTCTGTACAGAACATACAAACTGTATGACATACTATTAAGCTGTGTCACAGTTCTGTACAGAACATATATGTATGACATACTATCAGTATGTTAAGCTGTGTCACAGTTCTGTACAGAACATATATATGTATGTTAAGCTGTGGCACATTTCTGTACAGAACATACAAACTGTATGACATACTATCAGTATGTTAAGCTGTGTCACAGTTCTGTACAGAACATATATGTATGACATACTATCAGTATGTTAAGCTGTGTCACAGTTCTGTACAGAACATATATATATGACATACTATCAGTATGTAAAGCTGTGGCACAGTTCTGTACAGAACATACAGACTGTATGACATACTATCAGTATGTTAAGCTGTGGCACAGTTCTGTACAGAACATACAAACTGTATGACATACTATCAGTATGTTACTGTATGACATACTATCAGTATGTTAAGCTGTCGCACAGTTCTGTACAGAAAATTAATGTATGACATACTATCAGTATGTTAAGCTGTGGCAAAGTTCTGTACAGAACATACAGACTGTATGACATACTATCAGTATGTTAAGCTGTGTCACAGTTCTGTACAGAACATATATATATGACATACTATCAGTATGTAAAGCTGTGGCACAGTTCTGTACAGAACATACAAACTGTATGACATACTATCAGTATGTTAAGCTGTGTCACAGTTCTGTACAGAACATACAAACTGTATGACATACTATCAGTATGTTAAGCTGTGTCACAGTTCTGTACAGAACATACAAACTGTATGACATACTATCAGTATGTTAAGCTGTGTCACAGTTCTGTACAGAACATATATATATGACATACTATCAGTATGTAAAGCTGTGGCACAGTTCTGTACAGAACATACAGACTGTATGACACTCTGTCAGTATGTTAAGCTGTGACAGTTCTGTACAGAATATACAAACTGTATGACATACTATCAGTATGTTAAGCTGTGTCACAGTTCTGTGCAGAACATACAAACTGTATGACATTCTATCAGTATATGAAGCTGTGACAAAGTTCTGTACAGAACATATATGTATGACATACTATCAGTATCTTAAGCTGTGGCAAAGTTCTGTACAGAACATATATGTATAACACACTATCAGTATGTTAAGCTGTGGCACAGTTCTGTACAAAACATACAAACTGTATGACATACTATCAGTATGTTAAGCAGTGTCACAGTTCTATACAGAACATACAAACTGTATGACATACTATCAGTATGTAAAGCTGTGAACATACAGTTCTGTACAGAACATACAAGTTCTGTACTGTATGACATACTATCAGTATGTTAAGCTGTGTCACAGTTCTGTACAGAACATACAAACTGTATGACATACTATCAGTATGTTAAGCTGTGTCACAGTTCTGTACAGAACATATATATATGACTGTATGACATACTATCAGTATGTAAAGCTGTAGCACAGTTCTGTACAGAACATACAAACTGTATGACATACTATCAGTATGTTAAGCTGTGGCACAGTTCTGTACAGAACATACAGACTGTATGACATACTATCAGTATGTTAAGCTGTCGCACAGTTCTGTACAGAACATACAAACTGTATGACATACTATCAGTATGTTAAGCTGTGTCACAGTTCTGTACAGAACATATATGTATGACATACTATCAGTATGTTAAGCTGTGGCACAGTTCTGTACAGAACATACAGACTGTATGACATACTATCAGTATGTTAAGCTGTCGCACAGTTCTGTACAGAACATACAAACTGTATGACATACTATCAGTATGTTAAGCTGTGTCACAGTTCTGTACAGTATGACATACTACATATATATATATGACAGAACATACTATCAGTATGTTAAGCTGTGGCACAGTTCTGTACAGAACATATAAACTGTATGACATACTATCAGTATGTTAAGCTGTGGCACAGTTCTGTACAGAACATACAAACTGTATGACATACTATCAGTATGTTAAGCTGTGTCACAGTTCTGTACAGAACATATATGTATGACATACTATCAGTATGTTAAGCTGTGGCACAGTTCTGTACAGAACATATATGTATGACATACTATCAGTATGTTAAGCTGAGGCAATGTTCTGTACAGAACATATCTGTATGACATACTATCAGTATGTAAAGCTGTGTCACAGTTCTGTACAGAACATACAAACTGTATGACATACTATCAGTATGTTAAGCTGTCGCACAGTTCTGTACAGAACATACAAACTGTATGACATACTATCAGTATGTTAAGCTGTGTCACAGTTCTGTACAGAACATTCAAACTGTATGACATACTATCAGTATGTTAAGCTGTGGCACAGTTCTGTACAGAACATACAAACTGTATGACACACTATCAGTATGTTAAGCTGTGGTACATTTCTGTACAGAACATACAGACTGTATGACATACTATCAGTATGTTAAGCTGTGGCACAGTTCTGTACAGAACATACAAACTGTATGACATACTATCAGTATGTTAAGCTGTGGCACAGTTCTGTACAGAACATACAAACTGTATGACATACTATCAGTATGTTAAGCTGTGGTTCACAGAACATCTGTACAGAACATATGTTAACTGTATGACAGAACATACTGTATGACAGTATGTTAAGCTGTGTCACAATTCTGTACAGAACATACAAACTGTATGACATACTATCAGTATGTTAAGCTGTGTCACAATTCTGTACAGAACATACAAACTGTATGACATACTATCAGTATGTTAAGCTGTGTCACAGTTCTGTACAGAACATTCAAACTGTATGACATACTATCAGTATGTTAAGCTGTGTCACAGTTCTGTACAGAACATATATATGTATGACATAACAGTATGTATGTGTCACATGCTATGACAGTATGTTGTGTCACAGCTGTTAAGTATGTTAAGCTGTGTCACAGTTCTGTACAGAACATATATATATGACATACTATCAGTATGTTAAGCTGTGGCACAGTTCTGTACAGAACCTATATGTATGACATACTATTAGTTTTAGAATTTATTTCACATCACAGAGTATATCATACATCCAGAATAATATACTTTATCTAGTCTAAGCCAATATATCCAAACAGACAGCATTTTAACAAAAATTGAGATGACATTGACAGTGTGACGAGCTGTAGAGAACTTCGATATCGCCAGGTTTCCTGTACATACCATATGATGGCTATTCTGTTATCAGATTTCAACTCATCATGGTGTTGAAGCCTAGTAGAGGAGATATCACGTGCATTGGCACAGTCTTGTGTATAGCTGTAAGAGACCTGACGATACTTCAATCCTCCCACACAGTACAAATGATAGGGCGTGATATGTGATTTGTTGGAGGACAGAAAGTGATTCTCGCCGTCATATGATTAAAAGCACGGACTTGGCATTGGTTTAGAGACGATTAGGATTATGGCTGGCTCAGAAAAAGAAGAAAATCCTTTTTCAACAATTATGTATCGCGTCAATGTTGGTGGTCGCCAGTTCGGAATTAGTAAGTCAGTTATGGGATCGGTCGACGGATCCCGACTGCAGCGTCTCGTACTTGAAGGCAGTCACAATCCAAATCAAACGGATTTCTTTTACGAGCGACCTAGTGGGCCTTTCGAAGCGATATTGGCCTACCATCAAACCGGGAAGCTACATATTCCAGGAGATATATGTCCAGAAGCTTTTAAACAGGAACTCGATTTTTGGGACATAAGTCCCCACATGTTGGAAAAATGCTGTTACCATCGTTATTTAACGTTTTCGCGTGACCAGACTGTGATGACAGGATTTATTGAAAAATCTCGGTTAAGCAATTTGTACACTGGCAAACGTTTGGAAAAAACTCCGTCCTTCTGGTCTAGGACAAGATCGCGGTTGAGGTCTGTTCTTGACAACAAGGATGAGTCCTTAGTTACACAGGTAAGTTAAAACATCGTAACTATCATGTTATTGCTCTATAGAGATTGATGACACCTCTAAAGCTGAGATCATGCATTTTATTAATTTGGAATAAACGTCCTTTATAGAGTGTAATCGACTGACATTATTATGACGTCATATTCCCGATATATGTTTCCGATTCAATTTTTTTCTAGTTGCTGCAAAATGAAAATATGATGATGAGATAGAAAATATTTATTTTCATACAGACTGTGAAAAATGATTACATTTCAGACATATTTGCAGGTTTCTGTTAGCGCTCAATAGCATATACGTTTCCATGGTACCCTTTAATATAAAACAGTTAGGGTTTCTTGACTCGTTATGATTTCATTTAAGTTTGCCGTGAACTTATTCCAGAGGAAAAATGATGTTAGGAAACGTGCCTGAAAAATATTTCTGTCTAAGAGATAGATAACGGATTTTTTTTTTTTTTTTTTTTCTTTTATTTTTGAAAAGTTTCATAATTTTTACAGATATTGACATCTACATGTGCAACACACTTTCCCATACATCATCATCATCATCCTCCTCATCCTCATCCTCATCATCATCATCAACCATCGTCATCATCTGTATCTCATAAAATAACAACATCCTCATCATAAACCATCATCAACCTCATCATCATCATCATCATTATCATCATCATCAACCATCATCATCATCATCATCATCATCATCATCAAACCACAACATCCTCATTATCAACCAACATCATCATCATTATCATCAACCATCATCATCAAGATCCTCATCATCATCATCAACCATCAACATTATCAACATCATCATCAGTAGAAGTCATTATCTTCACGGAATATTTATCAACACTCTCATCATTTATCATCCTGCCGTCACACATCTTCCACACCCTCACACACGATTATCATTACCATAATAAATGCAATAACAATTATATAATCACAATGATATCATCATCAGCATTTTCATCAACATCCGCTATTTCTACCAACATATAGACATACATATAGACATGCATACCTTTGTACATGTATCACTCACATCATCACACACGCATTTCATGCTCTCTGCAAAAACAAAAAGAAATCCAATAAATTAAGTCAGTCAATATTAAGTCAGTAGAGAGAGAGAGAGAGAGAGAGAGAGATGAGTGGGCTACAGATGAAACTAAAATATATGTAAGTAGAGAGAAATATTTCCTTTTTCATAGATGTTATAATAAAAAAAAATACCTAGGTGAATTCACCAATCATTAAAAAGGGAAAATTGTCTGCGTAGAGATATAATGATATATATATATATATATGTGTGTGTATATATTTAAGAAAGAGAACTAATATTTCATGAGTGTAAGAAAAATTGATGGCTAATAATATCAATACCAATTAAAGTTTAAATATCACTTAAGTCTAATAATCTTCTCCATTTTCTCCATTTATTTTCTAAATTCTGCTGTGCAAGATCACCTTTGCTGTTAGCAATATGTTTTTGAAATGTGTAATACTCTTTGATTGAGTTTATCAGAATATTTGGATTTAAGATTTTATGTATACATCTTGATTTATATATATATAAATTAATCATGATCAGAATTTCATTATCTACTGAGTTTCCTATAGCATTGTCATAATCTGAAGTTACCCCAAAAATAAAGCTTTTCTTATTAAAAGAAAATGGAATCAATAGTGTATCAAGAAGAGTTTCAACATTAACCAAAAATTTCTGAGTTTCTCGACATTCCCACAAAGTATGAATTATTGTCTCTCTCTCCAAGTTGCAGAGAGGACAGATAGGACTATTTGCTAATCCAGCTTTAAACAAATATGTATTTGTTGTTAAAATATGTTGCACTATTCTGTATTGAAACCACTGTAGCTTTGTATTCTTTGTAACCTTAAATGGAGTTTTATAAATATAGATAACGGAATCTTTATTTTATTTTCTGAAGAAATGTTTCGGAAGGTTTTTTGAAGAAAAAAAAAGTTTTCTCGGGTAACAGTAAAAAACTGAAAATGTTCGAACTTGCATACGAGTGAGAGTGCATTGTTGAAGAATATAAAGCAGGATGCAAAATGTTTTAAACTCGTGACACGTGATACAACTTTCAAAATACATATCATAATTATCTAATCGAAGTATGTGTGCATCGCAATCCAAATAGGACAATATACTGACAATAACTGATTTATATAGTTGGGACGATTGAACGGTTTAATCCTAACAATCCCAAAACTGAATGATTATAATTCCTAACTGTCCCAAAAGTATGTTGTTATAGTGACTAGTGTCCCAATGTGTTGTTTCAACAGGTAACTTGTCCCCAAACATACATTTTAATAGGATGTGACATGTGATATTATACAGAAAAATGTAATTGAGAGACGAAAAAAATGTATGAATTTATATTTTTTCTCTAAATATTTTGAACAAAAATCAAAGTCAATTGGAGATTTGTAAATGTGTTTCTAATTTTAAAATTGTAGTTACTGTAAACTCATAATTTGGTATTATATTTTTATCAATGGTTTTAAAATAAGTTTTAAACTATCACTTATTATAATTTTTTCAATGAGTAAATAAGAAATTCTCATTAATGGATGTCAATATGAACAATTCACACCAAAAAGATGGTGAGGTGAACACCCAAGCTTGAAGTGAGAACTTGTGAGTAATCAAGCTGCTGATGAGTGGGGTGCATTGAGGTGAACACCCGAGCTTGGAGTGAGAGTTTGTGAGTAATCAAACTGCTGATGAGTGGAGTGCATTGAGGTGAACATCCAAGCTTGGAGTGAGAGCTTGTGAGTAATCAGGCTGCTGATGAGTGGAGTAACTTGAGATGAACATCCAAGCTTGGAGTGAGAGCTTGTGAGTAATCAAACTGCTGATAAGTGGAGTAAATTGAGATGAACACCCTAGCTTGGAGTGAGAACTCGTGAGTAATCAAGCTGCTGATAAGTGGAGTAAATTGAGATGAACATCCAAGCTTGGAGTGAGAGCTCGTGAGTAATCAAGCTGCTGATAAATTGAGTAAATTGAGGTGAACACCAAAGCTCGTGTAGTATATATAACTGTAGTTTTAATGAAATATCATCATTCAAACTATGGCTAACTATCAAATTCAAGTTCAATTCACCACCAACCAGCGCGGGGCCGGACACTTCATCAAGCCGGATTCAGCTACATGGTAAAGAACCATGTAGGTGTAGACAATCACATGTATACGCGTACACGTGTTTTTATATTTATTCAAGAAATAGAAACTTGAAAGACAAATCACAATCGAATGGACCTATATATATACACATATATATATTGAAAAAAACTTTTTTACTTAGAACGTTTCTTATTTCAAACCTTAATTTAGAGGTATGTGAATCAGACATGTAACGTCCGTACAACTGAAGCCCGGTTTGGTCACTATTTGGTCTGGTGAATAATAAGTTACACAAGATTTTGTTGGACATGCCGGTCTGATAGTGAACAATATATTTTGGTATTATATATCATAACCGTTGGCTAATTGGACAATTTAAGTTGGCATTTGTCGTAATCATAAGGATAAATATCAAATTATTCATTCAATGTTATTACCCGTGTAATTTATTTACAGTGATGAAACTGGCCTACAACAATGTTTTCCGTCTTAATATGTTATTAAGGAACTATTACAACAACAAAAATACCATAAAACGTTTCCATTTGATCTATATGAGGAAAAATGAAAGTAAACTAAAAAAAAAGATCATTTTACCTCATCTGCCCCAAACGGCAAGGATACTAGTCATGTACGACTGAGCGGATTTTAATCTAATTTGGTCTGAAACATGTTTTTGGTAATGGGAATTGATTGTGTGACAACCGTGTGTCTTGATCTCATGCGGCTGAGGGACGCGGACCAAGAGGAAAAAATATTAATTTGTTAAAATCTTTCTTGCTCTTCGGAAATCGAAGGACATTGTCCAAATTTGGTCTAAAGCATGCTTGGGTGAAGAGAAAAATCAGTTTGGTGTAAACGGTGGGTGTCAGTCCCCTTAGGCCAGAAGGGCGGAGCCCAATGGAGAAATTCTATCGGTAAACATCATCCTAGTGCCGTATATCATGTATATGTATACCTTACACATTGGTTTACATGATATCGTGCAGTCCTTAGAATTGAACTATATTTGTCAATGTTATATCTTCACATTTTGAAAAGAAAAGTAAAAATAGATAAAAAAAAAAAAAAAAATCCCAAAATGTATACTTGAAGATTTAGTAATTGCGTTATCATGATTGCTACCTATCATGTTTACTGATTTCGGTAATACGCGAAAGAAAAGAAAAATCAAGTGACTTTTTTATAGTCACATCTCACGTTAAAACAGATATTTGAGGAAACCAACTTCATTAAAGCCCTTCTTTCATTATATGGGAAAAAAATCTTTCCTTGAAATAAAACTTCCTGATTAGTCGTTCTTGGTCACGTGACTTAGCTATCCCAGTAACCGTAGACCGACAGAAGCTAAGTTAATCACTGAGAATACTTCTATTGTTGTTTGTGCAGAAAATAGTTGTGTTATGTCTACCAGGTCGAAATAATAATGTACCAATGCATCGTGTTAACTAGATCTACACACACACACATATATATATAGTGTCACGTAGTTCATTTTTAGCTGTCTATTTCATGTATAACTGTGTAGATTCGTCTGTTGTGAGTGACGTGCGCGTGCGAGTGTTATTGTTTACCTGTAACATGTGGTTTCTCCGCTGTCCAGGTGGAACGAGCAATATTTAGCCGCTACGCCTGGTCAGAACCTGTTCTATTGTTTACCTGCGCGGGTCGAAGTGTCTTTATTGTGTGAGCTGTCAAATAATGTTGTCAAGTTTGTTTTAAGTGTTTCTTCTCGTTATGTGCTGTGTACGTATGAGTGTGTAAGTCTTTTCGCCATAAGTTGTCTTTGCAAATCGTTGTCCTTTGTTCGTTAGACTGAGCTCACCTGTAGCGCCGGGTGGACGTGTTTTTGACACGTAGCGGTCGCTCAGCTATTCTTATACTTTCTGCCCCCTTGTCTGTTCAACCATTATTTGTAAACATTTTATCCTGAATACACTTTTAAAGAGACCAAATCAGTTTTGTTTGCGTTATATTCAATTATCATGGTAAAATTATACAAGGCCCACTGACCGGCCCTCAACTTAACATGATGACAAACGGCAATTGTCACATTGGCGCCCAACGTGGGGCTCAGTTAGTAGTGCCTTGTTAATTCTATATTCTTCTTAAATGTTACCAAGTTAATCTATTGTTTACAAATTTCGTTATCATGGATTCTTTGTCTCGTTCTCCTCAACATTCGTCATCACCATCACAACACCCGCCGTTAGTGTCTACGACTACTAGTAATCAGTTTGTCCCACAGAAA